TTTTAGGCTATGGAAGAGCAATAAATAAACTACTGTGTTAAAGTTTAACTGAAAACGTTTGTCTGTGACAGTAGACAGTTATTGTACCATTTATCGACTTAGTTAATGCATCTTTCTGAGAATTTTTTATTTTTTTTACAGAACCAGGGATTGAACTCAAGCCCTTGCTCTTGCCAGGGAAGAGCTTATTTTACTGAGCCATCTCCCCAGCCCCAAGAAAATATTTTTAACAAATGAATAACTGCAAATATAAGAATATAGACTCAATTAAAAAATCAAAGAAGAAACACCAACCTTAATTCCACCATTCAACTGACCACTCTGGACAGAGGTCCATCACTTTTCTTATTTTATGCATTGTGCTAAATAATGAACATATTAATATAGAATACTTTGATCATTTCACTTCCCCCACTAATACTCCTTCCACTTTTCTTTTCTCCTTTTTAATACCATCTCTTCTACCTTTGTGTCATTTTATTTAGATTCTACATTTGAGAGAAGAAAGTTATATGGGTAGTTCTGATTCTGACTTATTTTTCTTCCCATTATGAGCTCCACCTCCATTTAATTATTTCATCCTGTATTATGCCTCAGTAACACTCCATTGTGTATGTGCATTTATTTACCCATTAATTAGGTGATGAGTACAAAGGCTTTTTCTATGGCTTAGCTATAATGAATTTCACTGCAATAAACATAGGTATGAAGAAATCTCTAGATTATTCTGCATCTACATTGTATCTAGTGGTAAGTTTTCTTTTGAGAAAGTAATATATGTATTTGCATAGTGGTAGTACTAATTTACATTCTTACCAAGTGCTTACAACTATTTGTTGTTTTGGTGTTTTGATGATAATCATTGTGTCGGGGGCTAGATGGAATTTTCTCAGCTGTGTAAAGAGAATAAACAATAGTTAAAAAGAAACTTAGAGCCTCCAATGTGCGAGAAGCCTATTTCCACCACCACTTTTGCTGTGCCCAGTGGTCTGGCTGACCTAAGCTGTCAGGAGACCTGACCATGGGGTAGTCTGAGCCTTCTGTGGTGTGAGGCATGTTCCCTCCCACTGGTCCCCTGACATATCTCAGGTGGGCAAGTAGGAGTCATAAACACAGACGAGATTATGGCCACTGCTGCTGGAGGGGAGCGGTCTCTGGCATCATGGACATAAATGTGGATTTCCACAACCATCACAACAGCCCTTGAACAAACTGTCAGCCAACTTGATGCAGAGTCTTGGAAAATCACAGACAGAATATATAAATCAAATTGGCCTGTACAGTGTCAATAATCAGTTACTATATAGAAAGAATTTAGTTCAACATGTCAAGAAATGTGAATGAAGATACTATAATGAGCTACTGAAGAATACACTACTATTTCTGCATAATAACAAGAACTTATCTGCCAAGCTGAGAAATTATATCAACCTAATTATAGTTTTCTTCTAG